GAGAGATGAAACAGAATTGACGAAAAATGATTGCACAGGGAGTTACTTGAAGCTAACAGCTTCATGAAGGTTACACATGTTTTTTTGAAGTGAAAAAAGCTGGAACATCTTCTGGCTCTTGGAGAAAGATTACAAATCTTCTAATTAAGAAAACTGTGCCAACAGGCTTTTTTACAATCCACGACATTTCTTCTGAACCAAAAGCTACAAGAGATTTCTCACCAAAACATGGTTAATATATTAATAGTTTTATCAAAAAAAGCTCTGCTATAGACTTTGTTTAGAGTAAAAAGATGATTTGTATTGTGGAACCAAACGGTATGACACTTATCTTTAGTAATGTTGTTCTACTCTGTGCACACAACACACAGTGAAGCCACAGACAAAGATCTTTTAAAAAATTTAACTTTATACGTCATAATATGAATGAAAAAGAAACTTTATAATATAAGATCAGAACCACAAAATGAGAAATTGGCACATAGAAGCATTCAAGATTAAATGGCATTAGAAAGTTGAAGTCATTAAATGACTCTTATTCGCCTTGAGAACAGTGCAGCTAAACCAAGATTTGTTGGAAATCTCTTATAAGGAAAGTCCGAAGCATAAAATCATACCAATTCAGAAACTAAGATGCATTGTAGGTTGCTGTTAATGAGTTGTTAGAAGCCTTATAATATATGATTAGTAGAATTTTGAAACAGATTTTAAGGGAGTATCACACGTATGCCCTCTTTATACCTCCTACATAATTGGACCCTATACTAATCTTGTAATTCTGTTTTGAGCAAGAAATAGGATGTATTCGCAAAACGTTTAGGAATTGTAACAAATAATCAACTGGAGTTACAACAAGAGGTATCACTAAGGCCTCTTGTTTGAAACTAAGAAAATTGATAATATATAATTTAAGCATCTCATATACATAGTCATAGTCATACACAGTGGCCTGTAGACAAAGGTATTTCCTGGAGGGGTTAATTGAATGTGGAGGATTAAACAATACCAACAGCCAAGCCACGTAGTCTTTAAAGTTTGTCACCAGTATTCTATTTAGAAACTACATACACTCACAAAGATTGAAATTTGTAGAGAAAGCAAATCTAGTAGTTTAAGCACTTACAATGAGAAAACCATCCATAGAGGCCAATTAAGTGTTCTGACATTTGTGCCTAATTCGTGAACAGTGGCATTGTAAAAAATATTCTGACAGTAGCGTATGTAAAAAACAATTGGGAAGTTTGAATTAATGATAAATCAAGAGGGACCAGTAATTTTCTTCATTCCTAGAGAGGATTTCTCAACATGATGCAAAGATATGATGACATTATTTGCAAATTCACAAAGTTTCAGCCCCTGGAATTTTAAATTAAAATGCTACTTCAATATCAGAATACAAGACAAAATCCAGCACATAAACATAAGAAAACGTACATTGTATACAAATGCTTACTGAGGCTTGGTGTGTTCCTTGACGAATGAATGCTTCTTTCCCAAGAAAACGCATGTCTTCCCGCTCTAGAAATGAAATGCAGAGATATTCAGGTCGTGTTCAATATTTGTTAAGAAACTGACATTTCATAAACTTTAGAGAGTACTTTTACCAAAAAAAAATTAATCTATGATGGATCAACTTGCGAATATTAGAACTATTTGCTGCACAAATTTTTGAACTTTGAAAAGCTGCTATATTTATGTCATCGAAAGTTCTTTTAAAAGATTAAGAGCATATGCGTATCTGTACAACGATGCTAAAAAAAAGTTCCCAAAAAGACTACGTCCAGTTTTGTTGAAGGAGATGATCAAGGTCTCATTTTGCCAAACCAAGTGAGTGAGGTAACATTTATAACTGGCTGACAACAACTTGAAAATGATCCTACAAGGCATGGCAGAAAAAAACTTGGTGAATTTGGTGAAAACAGAATATGAGAGTGTCTGAACTCCAAACCACATACTATGACATCTGCTTGTAACAATCTTGTCAATGTATTTATAATTGGTTATATAAACCACTAAGCCACAGAAATGATACTTTAATAAGATTAGAACAATGTACTTCAAATGGCTAGCTACCATATCAAATAATTTTTGGAAATTAAATTAGACAAATGGATAACTAAATGGAAGAGATGGAATTAAGTTTATCATTTATGTGATGAAGGAGCCATATCTCATAAACAAAAACCAAAATTGTGTCATAGGGGGCATTAAAAAAGGGGGCAATTAATAGATGTTCTGGCTTGTAGATTAACGACTATTACTTGAAATTAAATACAAAAACCTTTAATATACCAATCCAACAAACAAAACAATGCCAATCAATCTAAACCAGATTGGCTACACACGGCCTCAGAGAGCATAGAAAGTGGGGGGTCTAAAAAGTGTGGTGTCAAAAACGATAAAGAAGAAAACTTTGCTGGGGTCTGCCTTCTCAAAATTTGCATTTTTTGCCAAAAAGTTAGACAGGCTAAAGCCCAAGCTCCTGCTCTCATAGTGCCTGCTACACACAAGTTCACAACAAGTACGGTAAAAAAGGTTACATTCAAACTTATGGCTTGTGATTGTCATTCGATATGCTTCAAAAATTAAATAATAGCCAAGGTCCTGGAACCATAATGAGGTCTAAGTGTTGAAAGCAAAGAAATTATTGGGAAAACAAATAATTTTCAGCAGACTGAAATAACATTATACCTAGAAAAGCATGTGTAATTATGTTCTAATTTGTTCATTAATGAATATTATAAATCAGTATCATGCTATTGTTCTATGTAAAAGTTGGAGAGCATCTGCCAAAAATAAATACAGAAATACTTGCAAATATTTTGTAATTGAAGATAGGCACAACAGAGTTAAAGTTTGTAAATTGTTTTCTTTACCCTGCCTAAAGACAGTCTCTTAAGTGATATTCCAGACATAAATCTTCATTCAGCACAATCAATA